GGCAAGACTCATAGCTAAGGGTTACACGCAAGTTGAAGGTGAAGACTTCAACGAAACTTTTGCACCAGTAGCAAAAATGACCACAGTTCGATGCTTGTTCACGGTTGCAATAGCTAAAGGATGGGGACTCCACCAAATGGATGTTAGTAACGCATTCTTGCATGGTGAACTAGATGAAGAGGTCTACATGGAGGTTCCACAAGGGTATGAGACTCCCAAAGAAGGCATGGTTGTCACTTAAAGAACTCCTTATAAGGTTTACGACAAGCTTCACAAAATTGGTATTATTATAAGCTCTCACAGGCACTCATAAAATATGGGTTTCAAGAGTGTCATGCAGATCATAGTCTTTTCATCTATTCACATGATGACATTTTCTTGGCTGTTCTAGTTTATGTTGATGATCTTGTCATTACCGGGAATAATGCAGATGCATGCCACAGGTTTAAACAATATTTAAGCGAGAATTTTCATATGAGAGACCTTGGTCTACTTAAATACTTTCTTGGTTTGGAGCTTGCTCGTGGAACTTCTGGCTTGTTTATGTGTCAACGAAAGTATACCTTAGACATCTTAAGCGAGTGTGGTATGCTTGCATGTAAACCTTCTCCTTTTCCATTGGAACAAAATCACAAATTGGCACTTGATTCAAGACCTCTTTATTAGGACCCTTCTCGCTATCGTCGGCTTGTTGGGCGCCTCATATACTTAACCATCACGCGTCCAGAAATCACTTATTCAACGCACGTCTTAAGTCAGTTTATGCAAGAGCCCAAAAAAGGCCACTGGGATGTTGCAATGCATGTCTTACAGTATTTGAAGTCTTCACCGGGCAGTGGCATTATTCTTCCAAGTGAAAATGACCTACAACTCGTTGCTTTTTGTGACTCAGATTGGGCCTCTTGTCCATTAACCCGTAGATCTGTTTTTGGATACTTGATGAAGCTTGGTTCAGTCCTTGTATCATGGAAAACAAAAAAGCAAACCATTGTGTCCAGATCTTCTAGTGAAGCGGAATATCGTTCTATGGCTCATGCAACAAGTGAAATTTTGTGGCTACGAAACTTACTATCATGCTTGCAAGTTATGTGTGATTCTCCTACAACTCTTTACTATGATAACCAAGCAGCACTTCATCTTGCAGCTAACTCAGTCTACCATGAAAGAACTAAACACATTGAAGTGGATTGTCACTTTATTTGGGAGCATCTACAAGCAAGAGCAATATCCACAGCTTATGTGCCAACTAAACAACAACCAGCTGACATATTCACAAAGTCTTTGGTTGGAAATCAGTTCAAGGAGTTGATAGTCAAGTTGGGTGTTCATCATATGCACACTCCAACTTGAGGGGGAGTAATAGAGGATAATGATGGATAATAGAATAGAATGATAAGTAACAGAAAAATTATCTTATCTCAGCAAACTGAATCTGTTATGGGCTGTTACTTTGTTGCAGTCTTATCAAGTTGTTAGGCTTGCTTGTTTAAATAGAGGCACACTTGTAACTCTAATCAATCAATAAATACCATATACTCAATTTCAATAATTATGTTTGAGGACATCTCATGATAGAAAGCTAAGGCCAAATAATTAGGAAAGGTAATAGATAAGATTTAGCTAGGATCTTATAATATTTGTTTAAGATTTAGGGTTTAAAAACAATATTTGTATATAATTTTATATTCATACGGTGACAATTTTAATTCTCATTCTCATATCCGTGGAATATTTGCGTACTCATACTCACACCCAGGGACGGGCCCATGTACAAGAGAGTTGGGGCACATGCTCCCACTACCATTTGACACACATATTTTTTTTATATAAAAAATAATATATTTTTAAAAATAAAAGTTATATTATAACAAAATAAATATATATATTTAAATCATCATATGTATAAAATATAAATTTAAAAGATTTGTTCATTTATTTGATATTTATCAAACTTTCGAAGGAGGTTAATTTTTATATGTGATAAAAAATACTCCTTAATAACGAATTAATTTTTTTAAAAAGTTTAATTTTTGATAAAATAAAATTTGTAGCATATATTTACCTTTTGTGTTTTTTTATTTATGTATACATTGATTAAAAAAATTTAAATAGTAAAGATTGTAAGATTGTATACTTTGATTAAAAAAATCAAAATGGGAAAGATTTTGTTTTGAAATAAATTATTATCTAAAATATTATATTAGATATTAAAAATATGTTTATATTATAAATAAATTAAACTTGATTTTTATACAATTTAACATATTTATTTTTATATTTTTATTAGTATTAAATTATTATAAAATATATTTTTAGGATTGTAATTTTAATCAAACATTTAAAAAATATCTAGATAAATAAGTCATATTTAGGACATGTATTTTAAAAAAATGTTAAGTTCAAACCTACTAAATTATAATATAACATAGTCCGACCTAACTTATTTTTATCATTAATCGTAAGCATAGATATAAAAGCTTGTAAAAAATAATTACAATATATATATATATATACTTTTAAAAATTACATGTAAAATTTTTAGTACTATAAATATATAAATAATTATTGCCCTCACTATCTAAAATTTCTGGATCCGTCACTGCTCACACCCGCATTTTACTTATATATAAAATAAATAAATCAATAAAAAAATAATATTTCATACAATCAAACATAATATTAACTTGTCAAATTATTAACATTACAAAAATCTAATATTACAACTCTTATAAATAAATATTACAAAAATATTCAATTCTTGTAAATAAACTTTAAAAAAAATTAACATAATAAAAATTGTAATTAAACTTCTAATATCATTATCATGTATTAACATCATTCTCTGATACTTGCGAAAAAATTGTATAAAAATTATAGATTAAATTATATATTATAAATCTCAAAAAATAAATATGTTGACAGTTGATTTCATTATCAGAATCAACTTCTTCATATTTTTGCAAATTTTTGTCTTTCAAGTTTATATATTATTTTGATCAGTAATATCAATAGAGTACATGACAAAAAAATAAATGATTAGATAATTTAAATTAAGACTTAATTGTATTTTTGATTCCTCATGTATTATAATTGTGTAATTTTCATTCCAAAAAATTTAATTAAATAATTATAATTCCTAAATGATTATAATAATTTGATTTTGATCTTTAATTTTTAATTGAACAATTTTAGTCTCTTAAATATTATAATTATATATTTTAGTCTTTCCTATTAAAAATTTAATAATTTTAATATATAAATATATATAATATTTTAAAATTATAAAATTATTTGACTATTTAAATTAATATATATTATAATT